CAAACAAACTTTTTTCACCACTCAAAACAGTAAGGGCATCACAAAAGTTTTGTTTAATTATTTGTTTGGAATTAAACACAAAGCTACACATTGGGCTATCTGTGCTCTGCCCACCACGAGTATCGAAACCCAGTTTCTAGCGTTGTAAGTCCGCAGATATACCGCTGTGCCACTGGGGGGGCGGCATCATAACAGATAAATTATTTTCAATACTGATAAACGAAAGATTAAACAGACTGTATTTATTAATGCTTTGGAAAATAAAACGAGTGTATCACTCGTAAAGCTTGTACAGATTCCAAGATGGAGTAAAAATTCCAAACGCTATTCAAGACTTCAGAGTTACGGTTAAAATACAAAAGATGATGAGAATCAAATATCCACCTGTATTACTTCAGTTAAAACAGACTTGATTTTCAGGGATAAATTATAAGGAAGTCCAGTAAGTAGAAAGGAAGATTTAAACATACTCTGGCTCAGGATTTTAACAAGTTATCACACATTGTTTTTCATACTTGCAGAACTTGGAGGAGGTTAGCAGCACTGGGTGGGTGGATATGTACGAACCGCTTGTTTTTACTTCAGATAAGAAATATTATTTTATTCGACTTCCTGCTAACGAAGGAGACGCTGGAAAATTTCGCCATGTTGCCATGGTCAGCATTGAGGTAAGTGCAAGTAAAATCTTAAAAGGATGTTGCAGAGGTTTCGCTGTGAGAATGTTGAAAGTATTCATAATGTTGTACCAACGTGTCCCCCCTCCCCAATGTATTTACAAAACTAAATTGTTATTATCTAAATATAAGTAAAGATTAGCAAGGTAGCCACGGACCTGCAAAATCGAAAAAGTCCAGTGCAATTAAATCAGAATATTTTTTTAATGCAAAGCTGTACAATGGGCTATTTGCTCCATGCTCATTGCAGGAATTCAATCCCTAATTTTAGTGTTATAAGCCCTCAAGCTTATCGCTGAGCTATCAGGGGGCAAACAAATAAACTTTGTGCACTCCCCTTTTATTTCATAACCTTCACGCATACAATTATGCTGCTTAGCTATGTCAGTTTCAGTATATTTTGACATAATTTTAGTCACTTGTTCTATGTTATTTTATCTGGTTATAATTATCTAAGTCATTACATTTGATGACAGGTTAAATCAAGAATTATTTTATAAATAAAAATTGAATACAATATTTTGTACTACCATGCTCCAATGGCCTTGATTGAAGAAGTTTTTTATAGTAGCGTATTACAAAGTAAATATGTTCTGAATTTTGAAATTTTTATTACTACTTATAACCATTACAAGTTAAAATGGTACTAATTAGATGGAATTATGAGGAAAAGTTTTGAAATGCAAAAGTGCATAGGTCTGGAAAATCTGGAAGTTTGTCTTGAAAGTCAGGGGAAAATATTTTAGAAAACACGTGGTCACCATGATGAAACATGCAGGCAATGAAGAAGAACATTAATAAATTAAAAATTGGTAATTTACCTACAGAAGAATCAAAACTTAATCCAAATAAATATAACCAGTTCAGTACTCTATATCCTTGCTCACTAAATAAAAAAGAAAATTGTTAGGTACTTCACTGCTCATTCAAACATCTTGTTAAACAAGATATAGTTAAAACATAATGTGTATTGTATGGCTAAGATTGTCATTCCAGGTTCTAAAACGTCAATTTTAAAAGTAGCAATTAAAGCGAAACGTTGCAGGTCATTTCTAAAACCCGCATCTTTCAGGATAAAAGAAGAAAGTTCTTAACTCAGGGAGCTTATGATGTCGTCCAGATTTTGGCCCATCGCCAAGATGTCCGTAAAACGTAAGTTTTCCAGGATAAAATATCTAATGAGCAAATAAGTACTAAGTAATTGTTAATGTTTTCTCAGTTCTACCTTTAATTCACATTAAGTAAAAATAAATTAAGGAAAGCGTGTATTTTTTAATACTTTTTATTTTCAAGATATTACTGACATCAATGGTTTCATTTTCAAATTTGATGGTTAGTTTCCTCATTGCATACAACTTTATTAAAGTGATAAAATAATGACAGTGACAGTCACATCCGGAAACACATACGTTTACAACAACAGCAGCCCCCCAGTTACACAGCGGCATGTCTGAAGACTTACAACTACGGTCGGCAAAGGACATTCTGGCCCGGCATGGCCAGGTGGTTAGGGCGCTTGACTCGCAACCTGAGGGTCGCGGGTTCGAATCCCCGTCCCATCAAACATGCTGGCCCTTTCAGCCGTGGGAGCGTTATAATGTGACGGTCAATCTCACTATTCGTTGGCAAAAGAGTAGCCCAAGAGTTGGCGGTGGGTGGTGATGACTAGCTGCCTTCCCTTTAGTCTTACACTGCTAAATTAGAGATGGCTAGCGCAGATAGCCCTCGTGTAGCTTTGCGCGAAATTCAAAAACAAACAAAGAATATTCTTCATGTATAAAAAAAATAGGTTCTTTTGACAAACCAGAACTAGACAAAGAGAGTTGCTAATATAAATGAAATCCTTTAGTTGTGCTTTATCAGAGCAACTGCCGCTCAGAATGAAAAAGAAACGGAAATTCAATTATTTCAAATATTCGCACCTGTTCTATATTATAAAGTTATAGTTGTTTGTTTGGCCCCCCAGTGACACAAAGATATATCTGCAGACTCACAACACTAGAATCCGGGTTTCGACACCCGTGGTGGGCAGAGCACAGATAGCCCATTGTGTTGCTTTGTCCAAACAAACAAACAACAACAACTTATTTGAGACATTTTGTACTTTAGGTAAAATATTTTTATACCAACAAATCAGCTTCTTATTTATAAATTATTTCTCCCTCTCCAAAACATGAATTTCAGTGAAGAAAAGAAGGCATAGAGATCTAATCTTTAGTCAGTTGTGACGGCATGTCACATGCTGGAAAATATCTAAAGTATTTTAGGTTGTTAGCGGTGAGTAAAGGTTGTTAGGTTGTTAGCGGTGAGTAAAGGACTACACGTGAAACCAAACAAACGCTGCTTCTTGTTATTCCATTAGTTGTATCTGCTGTTAGCTTTCTAAGTATATTGTTTTATCGTCGGCCCTTTTAATATTTTCTCTCGTTCTCATTTTCAAACATCTTTACATGCTTTAAAAAGACGACATCTCTTTGTGCGGTTACTACAAACATACTGTATATTCTTCTGGTGTATTGTGGAAACGAAGTTATATAAGTTAAGAAGCTTTATAGACTAGCTCTAAATATACCGAGTTTAAACAAACAACTCTTATTTTATCATCAGAGATTACCTGCTGAAAAAAGGCTTTAGTTGTCTTCCATGTTAGTTGAACTTTTCATAACGAACCACAACATAACGCCCCCAAGTGGCACAGCGGCATGTCTGCGAACTTACTACGTAAGAAACCGGGTTTCGATACCCGTGGTGGGCAGAGCACAGATAACTCATTGTGTAGCTTTGTACTTAGCTTCAAACAAACCAAAAAATTCCCCCACCCCAGTGGTACAGTCTGCGGACTTACACCACTAGAAACCGGGTTTCGATACCCGTGGTGGGCAGGGTACAGATAGCTCATTGTGTAGCTTTGTACTTAACTTCAAACAAACCACAACATAAAGTGTATCTTAAAATAATATATGTCATCAAATTTTTGGTTAAAAATGAATAGTGATTATTTTAAACAACACTGCAACAATAAATAACAAACAAGATTTATCTGTCTTCAATATAACTGAACGTTTTATCTGTTAAATAACAGTAATACATCTATTATATATATAATCTATATCTATAATAGTCAAATGTCTGTCTGTCCCGCTTTGTATATCCTGAACGTTTAATCGTAGAAAAAAAAATAGATATCAAAAAACTTCTTTTTGAGAGTGAATTGCAGGAAAATTATTCATTTTTCGAAAATCCTAAAATTTCTTATTGATATCAACATCGATCCGTCAGTCTTCGTATGTGTTGAACGGTCAATTTGAGAAAAATCTTATTAAGAACAATTTTTTTATTTTTTGTGAGGGAATTTCCTGAAAAAAAAAAGGGTCTTCCCTCAACTGAATGAAAGAAATATTTCGAAGATAGGAGTCATGAACGACAAAAATGCATAAAGAGAGGAACGTGT